AGAGTTTAGGGTTTAGGGTGATGTAGTGTTGGTAAACCCTCATGTGGGCGTTCTCACGATCATGCATATATTGCCGTGTATATCCCTCGGGTTCCTACGGGCTAAGTACACCCCCCATGGTTGCCAGTATAACCCTAATTTAGCCCCCCCTAGTATAACCCCAACATAACCTTAATACAGTAACTCTAATATAGCCCGAATATAACCCTGTTATAGCCCCAATATTATCCCAATATAACCCCAATATAACCCTAATACAGGAGGCTCAGACGCAGATCCTAAACCCTAAACCCTAAACCCGGAGCCTTAAACCCTAAACCCTAAACCCTAAACCCATCCCAATGGTTCCCAGGAGGCTCAGGCGCAGATTGTGGAGGGGACCATCGGGGCATCCTTCCTGGTGGAGGCGTCGGAGTATGGGAGCAAGGATGACCCTGCGACCCTTGGATGATCTTATCTTAGGGTTTAGGGTTTAGGGTTTAGGATTTGGAGTTTAGGGTTTGGGATTTAGGATTTCGTTTTGGGGTTTAGGGTTTAGGGTTTAGGGTCTGAACTCCTTAAAGGGGTTTATATGGGGGACTACTGCAGAGGGGGATACTAGGAGTTTAGGCTATGGATCATAAGAGTCCTATCTTAGGGTTTAGGGTTCAGGGCTTAGGGATGAGTCCCCAATGTATAGCACGATACCAACTTCTTTTCGTTTGGAATATTTCATGACAAGCATATGATCACTTGGCTCGACCACGAAAGAAATGCTACTCATTTGAGGCTAGCGTTTAAGTTTTGAGGCCTTTATGGCGTAAGGATAATCTAAGATAGGTCTTTCTATGTACCAGTGAGAAGTGATAGGTGAGTGTTGATAGGTTTCATTAGGATTTTTGGTTGATGCACAAATTTGCAAATGAAAGCCATTGGCTGGTGTAAGTAGGGGGGTTATCTATGGATAGCAATAATGGGGACATGTGTGCAGTCTCCATCTAGGTCTTAAGTGGGCTCTCAGAAGAGATTCTCTTGAGAAAGCATGTACGGTTTATGCAGTTTCTTATACGAAGTGCATGAGGGGAGGGCATGTGATAGGTATGATCCAGGATCTATGTCGGGACTAATGGAGCGATTATATCAGGACTTCAGGGCAACCCTTAAATGGGGTCTATGCAGGTTCTATTTGTAGGTATTGGGGCTCCGCATGTGGTAAGATACATATTGATTGGAGAAGTGCTATCATGTCATGTAATTGGGGGTTATCTTGGGCTCGTTCCTTTGGAATTGAGGGCCAACGTAAACCCTAAACACGAAGCTCCAGTTCCTTGGATTTCAGGACCTACCAGTGGGCTGCAGATCAGATCAACCGCCTGTCCGAAGCATGGCAGCAAGTTGACAGGTTGTTATGGGTTTAGTGTTTTGGGTTCAGGGTTTAGGGTTTTGGGTTTAGGGTTCCCTGCTTCACCCTAATACATTCCCTCTGGGTCTGCAGGGTCATTTAGGGATACTTCGTAGGTTTAAATATATAAGGTTAGGGGGAACGTAGGGGTGTAGTAGGGGAACCCATGGGTGTAGCATTTGGACCTATGAACATCCAGTACGGATCTTTCATTCGTCTTCTCAAAGTCATCGGCCCCGTTTCGGATTTCTGCGTTCCTGCAGGAATAGGGAGCTGCTCCTTGTAGGTGTGAATAACCCAGACCCCCTAAAGGATCCAAAAAAGGAGCTCCTCAAAGGGGTTTATAGGGGTTATATAGGGGCATATAGGGTTTAGGAAATAGGGGTTTAGGGTTTAGGGATCCAAAAAAATGGAACCCCCTAATATTCCCCTAGTTTCCCAAATGTAGTGATGGGTTCACATTGGGGGGGTTCCATTTTTTGGATCCTTTAGGGGGTCTGGGAAGAGGATCCGCAGTGCAACAGCTTCCAATCCAGGTTTCATGGCAGGTCAAAGCCAAACTTTCCAATTTCAATCCCTGATTGTGGCGGTGATTTTTCACTCTATCACTCCAGCTCTAGTATTTTGATCTTGCTGCGTTTCGACCAAGGAGGAAAACGATAGGGCCCGGCTTCCTTGCAGGGGTTTTGAAGGTGACTTCCTCATCTACTGCCACGTGAAAGAGACGGTCTGCGTTTCTTGCTGGTTGTGAGTAGAGAATGGAAAACTGCCTTCAGCAACACCCTCGTCCTCCCCATCAGAAGTATAGTTGTATCCAAATTCAACGGGGTGAGCCATGACGTTGCTGAGGACACCGTTCAGTTGCAGACCTCGGCTGCCGAAAAGTACCGCATGCTCACAGCGGCTTAGCCCAGTTTGGCAAGGAACATGGAGCTGCTACTGCAACTGGAGTGATGACAGTAATTGACATTGCCAGCAACACCAGGAGGATGAGAATCCTTAAGTAAACCCTATATAATCCCCATAGTTTCCATTTTCTTTTCCATTATCCTTATATAACCCTAGCCTAATAAACCCTAATATGACCCTATAATATAACCCCAATACAACCAATAGACAGGAGGAGGAGAAGGAGGAGCGGGAACATGAGGAGGATGAGTTTTGCAACAAACGGGCCATACGCAGCCCTTCGCAAGAACAGATAGTGTTCTGATAAGCACGAAGCCTTGCTGTCCATCAAGAAGAAGGGTACGGTCAGGGGGATTTATGGAGGGCTTATGGGGCTTACGGGCAGATGGGGCCCTTGGAGGCTTACATAAGGGTCCGTAGGGGGATAAATTCTACTGGCCTTTATGGGATCCTGCTCCTTTACCGGCCCGGGGAAGGGTACGGTCAGCGGGATTTATGGAGGGTTTATGGGGCTTACAGGTGCACATGGGGGGCGGGTTGTGGGGGCCTTACGTGAGCTTTTAAAGGGCTTATGGGGCCCCTGGAGGCGCATATAAGACTCTGTAGCGGTCCTGAACTGGGCCTCTCCCCGCTACCCTGCTTCCTATCCGATGACTCGACGTCAGGTGAGTCCTAATGCGGACGACGATGTCACAGACTTGTGCCAAACAAGGGCGTCGCTACTGAAATCCTGAGATGGAAAACCCGCGAAGCCTGGAACCTCAAAACCCCGAAAACCCTCAACCCTACACTCCATGAATCCCCATTATTGGACTCCAAGCGCAAACCAGGCCTTACAACCCTCCACAGAAGGTAGTTTCAATAAAGAAAGGGTATCCCAATATATATAGACCCTAATATCTGATAATCCTTATTTTTGGGACCTCCAAACTGGTACCCCTAATTTTAGGAAGCCCCTCAAAAGAGCCATGCCTTTCCGGATTACCCTAAACTCTAAACCCTACACCCTAAACCCTAAACTCTAAACCCTAAACCCCCGGATTCTGGCTAAGGTAGTTGCCTTCAACGCCCGCACTACGGGGGTCGAGGGTGTGGCAGGCCCAAGCTCTCCTTTCCTCCATCCCCAATAGACTTACTGATAAGGTTTAGGGTTTAGGGTTTAGGGCTTAGGGTTTAGGAATATTTGGGGTTTAGGGTTTAGGGTCAGGGGGACTTTGTAAGTAGGCTACTAACCCCTACAAGCCACATAATATCCGCCCGGTAATCCCCCTGATTAACCTATATACCTTCTAAGTCCAGCTGATGCTCCAAGTAAACTTACTGATAGGGGAATATTTGGGGTTCAGGGTTTTGGGTTAGTAGGGGAGTAAGGCAATATCTTCTATGGGGGTTACAAAGGGACTATATCCCTTCTTCTAAGCACCAACAAGTATACCTTGATGAAGGAATACCTAGACCCCCAAAGTAGGTAAGCAATGGCCCAAAACCCATTCAAACAGCCTAGCAGTGCAATTATTCTACATACCTCTGGGGTTCAGGTATACCTTATATGAAATCAGGAATCCGAAGCCGATGTACGGTATACTCCATCATTACTCCGTGGCACAGTGCAGTGACTTCGCTACCGCACCCGACGTCCAACCCAAATAGTCATTTCTCTAGAAACACTGGGTTGGCCTTTGGGATAATTAGATATTTTCCCTATTTGGTTTCATACGACCCTATATGCTAATATTCTCAAAGGGTTCTAAAGGCCAACCAAGAACAGGTCACGAAATCGGACTTCAGGGTTTGGATTTAAGTTTTAGATTTTCTGGGCCTGTTCTAAATTTGCCAGCAATGATTGGATGCTTTAAAGTTAGGGATGACCCTAAGGGATCTTAGGGTTATATGGCAACTGAGGATCCCCGTTAGGAATTGTGTAAGGGTGATTTTGAAAGATGACAGCCTAATGAAATAGGACCCTAAACCCCTAAACCCTAAACCATTAGGTTTGAGCCAGCATGGTGTTATCACGTTATCTGGGAGTTAGGGGTTAAGGGTTGGGATTGAATGCCCCATATACGATATTCCTTACTCCCTACTTACTCCGAGCAACCCCAAGCAACCCTGAACCCTAAATCCCTAGCCCTAATCCCTGCACTTGCTGGCGGTAAGGAGGGAATCGGAGGAATGGATCCGTATAAAAGTTCCCATATAATCCCCCAAGAATGCTTCCTATAACCCATTTCTTCATGCGCTGCTGACAGCTAGTAGGCACACGCCTACCCCCAGAAGAAAACAACGTAGGGATCCTAGCCCCTTAGGCAGTCCCCCGTAGGTAGATAGAATATGGTTTTGGGTACACTAGAATAAGGTCCCCATATACCCCATATTCCATCTACTTTAGGGGGGCTATAGGGTATGGGGTTTAGGGTTTAGAGTTCAGGCTTTAGGGTTTAGAGTTTACCTTTTGGAGTTCCATGATGTCCGTTGGCCTTTTAATGATTTTTAGGACTAAGATGAGATCCTCACACAAGCTGTTCGTGAACCCAAATATACCTACAGCTTCATAGTTCCTACCCCTCCATGAGTAGATATCACCCAAGAAGCTGTAGGGATTGGGATTACAGGTAGGATTTAGGGTTTCGTATTTAGAGTTTAGGCCCCGAACCTTGAACTCCTAAACATAAAGCCCTGAACCCGTAAGCCCCTAAATCCTTACGGGTTAAGGGGTTCAGGGTTTGCGGCCTAGACTTGTTTGGTTCCCGTGGATCCCATCTAACTAGGCTTGACCAACAGGAGCCTTACATGGACTTGGTAAAGCACACCAGGCTTATACATAATTGCCTTCCAAAGCGTTGCCATGGAAACCAGAATCAACAACGTTACCTTAAAGTCCTTTCAATTCGTTTACGTTGTATCTTGGACCCCTGATTGTAAGACAATAGGCCCAGCGCAAAATCCTCCTCAACCCTGTACCCTAAACCCCGAAACCCTAAACCGCCTAAACCCTCAACGCTAATCCTGATGCCCTGAGGAATTCTGCAGACCGATCCCGACTTGCACGTGAGAGTCCTGGGGAGCTTGCTCCAGCCTATCCGTCACGAGAAGGCGATCTCCCAGTGTCCCTCTGTTCTCGGGAATGATGTGCAAGTGGGGAGGGGATAGAAGGATTTAGCAAGGTATTGGGTCGCCAGATAGTATGTGGACAACTGATTGAGAGCATGTGTAGTTGCATGGAAAGTTTCATCATGTAGGGCTCCGTCCGCCTGCTTCGTTACGGATTAGGGAGGGGCCAAGAAATCAAGTCGTGTGAAAACAAGATCTTGCGGCAGAGGTTTGGTGGCTTCGGTCCAAATCCCATAGCCTGTAGGTAGAGGCATCTGTGGTGCAGTGGTGTCTCACTCTCGCTTAAGCAAAGTTCATCTCGCGATTTTGGTTGCTTATACTTGTTTGCAGAAGTTAGTTTCGACTTGAAGTTGTTGGCCGTATGCAGTAAATTCAAGTTGCAACCCGATGCCCCTTCTCACCATCTCACTTATACCCTCTATTCAGCTGGTTCGAGGTGTTGCTTAGAACTCCGAATGCAGTGCTTGTGAACTGGCTCCAGTGGTAGCAATGCTCCGGTATGGTTGGCTTCACGAAGCTGTTATAAGTAAATCCTGGATCACAAAGCCAGAAAGTACTTTGTCTTCTACTCGAAAATTGAACCCTTAAGCCGCTAAACCTTTGAATAAACAATCACTTTCCCAAACTAGGGTGACCCCACCAAAAGGGTGCCCCTGACTTTGGGCAACCCCAAACCCTATGTACTTTTATACGTCCCTACATATCGCTATATAACCACTTTTTATCCACTATAAACGCATTCAAAAGTACATCCCCCCCCCTCCCCCCCAATTTGGGGAAATACCAACTGAAGGATATCCGCGTTGAGTACGAAAGTCTCGCTGACCTGCTCATGGAGGTTTTCACTGCCTAGACCCTGATTTAGGGTTTAGGGCTTAGGGTTTAGGTTGACACCTTGTTGGGGTCTGTTCCAAAATCAGGTGGATTTTTTCGGGGGGTGGGATCCTCATACTTAGGACTATAGTATTTATGGGTGTATATTGGGGTTCCCCCATTTTTGGAAACTAAGACTTTTGTATATACCGAAGTTAAGGATGCCAGCCATAAAGTCAGATACCTAGAGGGTAAAACCCTAAAACCCTAAAGCGCGCCTGTCTAGGTACGGACTTTGGGACGGGCGCTTAGTGAGGGGCCTTGTGGTTTATGGAGGCTGCCTGGGAAATTTCGGGGTTATGGAAGTCATGTGGTGTCCGTAATAGTGGTCGATCCTGAGAACTGTCGATGTCCTGTTTTGCTCGAGAATATCCTACATGAGCTCCTGAAATTCCCTAGACCCTACCAAACTAGACTCTACCAAACCCAAATGAAACCCTATATCAGCAAACCCCTGACTTCAAGGTAGACCTTTTGGGTCTTCTAGTCTAGGGACCCAACCATTTTTCCTAGACGTTTCTTTGGAGTTCCCCGTTCAATACATGTGTATTCCTATATGAGCTATACTATAAACTCCTAGTATCCCCCTGAATAACCCCTACAGTAGTCCCCTGTATAATCCCTATATAACCCCCCTTTAAAGAGTTTAGACTACAGCTCATATGATGTCCCTCGAACCCTGAAGGTGGTATTCGGGTTCGACAAGGATACTGCGACTGATCCTCTCACCATCTTGGCTTGGGAGGATAAACTCGATGAGGCTTGCCTGCAGGTGGACATAGGCTATAGTTGAAGCTTACAGGGGGTTATATAGGGGATTATATGACCCCCTTGTTGGGGTTTAAGGTTCGGGGTCTACACTCCTGTTCCTTAATAGGGGTTATGTCGGGATTATATGTGAAAATATTTCATGGGATATTAGGTGGGATACTAGGAGTTTAGTCTAGGGCGCATATGGTTGATACGAATACTCCTGCATGTTCCTAAGTAGCCAGCAGCTGCGGGATTTGTGGTACTACAGTATACTAAGCTCGTGCAGGATCTCAGTATTCTCAGTATGTTCCCAAACAGTTCTGCAGCCGCTTTCAACCCGAAGCATGTCAGAGCCATGCGTTTTCAAACCTGAAGGAACTACAGGCAATCTATAGGGATTTTATTGGGAACCCCAAACAGGGGACTCCAAGAATGTAATAGGAATATAATGGGAATATGCTCACCAGGGACCTTATCTCCCATTATATTCCTATTATATTCTTGGGGTTCCCTGTTTGGGGTTCCCAGTAAGCTCCCTTTACAATCACCTCCAGCCTGTGTAATCCCCACATCTCTTGAAGGCCGCGCCTTGCTGCTAGAAAATTCAGCGTCTAAACGCAATTTGTTCCCACAAGCTTGGAAGTCGGAAGGCTTCTTTTTTTCATCTAAACGCCAAATCCTATCCCTAAAGCCTCCACTCTAAGCCCTCAGCCCTAAGCCTTAAAACGCTAGGCCATAACCCTACACCCGAAGCCTTGAACCCAAAACCCAAACCCTAAGCCCTAAACTATATAACCTGAAGCCCTAAACAATAAGCCCTGAACCCTAAGCTCTAGACCCTACGTCCTAAACCCTTAAGCCCTAAAACCCAAGCCCTAAACCGTAAGCTCTAAACCTTACACCCTAAACCCTAAGCCCTAAACTCCAAGCCCTAAGCCCTATAAACCCAAAAGGAATCCACGGTCGCGAGATCTTCTGGCTTGCAGCTCGGGGACGAGCTTTTGATGATCGAGCTGCTGGATGACCTAGGGGAGGTAGGGTGTTTCAGGGGCTGAGGTTTCCCTTAAACCAGAACCCCATATAAACCCCTATCTATCCCCAGGGGGAGATGGAGGGGCCTAGGCCCAAAGCCCCTGTCTATTGAGCCCTAAAGTCCTAAACCCCAATAAACCCTCGGGTTCAGGTCAAGAGGACACTGACGAACCCTGCCGAGATGAGAGATCTGCTGCAGGATGACAAGGAGCCGCAAGCTCACAACAGCTACTGTGTCCTTGCTCTGTATTAGTTGTGTTCTTTATCTGTTGTCAGTTGTTATTACTGCTGTTCTGAACATACTGATTTTGTTGATGCTTCTTTTTACTTGTTCTGGGGGCCGGTACGGGATTGGAGGAAGGGAGTAGGACCTGTCTGAGATTGTTGGATGCAGGGTACGGTGTTGTCCCCTAGAGCATGTCAACGCTGCTTCCCGTTCCACAACCATGGGAATTCGTTACGATCACAGTTGCCCTTTTGGAAAGCTGCTAGACGGTGGAGGCAGTACCCAGCCTATACAGTATCTCAAACTCTAGACAACAGCTATTTCCACATGTATCATGACCCTGTAGACACCCTAAGCCCAGATTCCCTTTGTGTTTCCTGTGAAGCAAGCCATCGCCACCCAACCGCATCTTGACCCTTTACTTCGACAATTTCTTGGAAAGATGTATCCTGGGCTTACCACACCTGTGGTCCCGCAATCCCAAGGGTATAGGCATATGAGCCATTGTCTAAACTCCTAGTATCCCCCTTAATACCCCTATGATAGTCCCCTATCTAACCCCCGACATAACCCCCCTCTAAGGAGTTTAGACTATGGCGCATATAGGGTCATGCCGTCAACCAAGAAGCCCTCAACCCTAAGTCTGCGCTGCCCATTCCGCGCATACATTTCGCAATGGGCCCAAGCTGGGTGCTACTGTAGCCTGAATTACTTGCATTGTAGTACTAGATTCCTTGGAATAGTATTGAGTCTCCCAAATAGACCTCAAGAAGATATCAGTAATCATTTCCGCTTCGAGAGCGTGGCTTCAGGATATCCCAGAGAAGGCCTAAACCCTAAACCCTCAACCCTAAACCCTTCAACCCATTTTTCCCATGTCAGAGCCTGCCTCAACCCTGAACCTCATCCCCGAAGCTCCCCCGCAACCTCAAACCTCGAAGCCTTTAGGGTTTAGGGTTACCCTTAACCCTAGACCCCCTTGCTTAAACCCTCAACCTCAAGCCGGCGTAATGAATCATTTGTATATCCCATGTTCTGGCTAAGGATCCAGGCGTCATTCTCGCTCGGAGCATGTGCAAACTGCTTGCATGAACCTCTAAAACCCTACAACCCACCTCAAAATCGAAACCCCTAAACCCCGAAACCCAAAACCCCTAAACCCTAAACCCCTACCTAAACCCTAAACCCTACACCCATAAACCCCTAAACCCCTAACTCTGGAAAGGAGGACAAGGACGACCAAGCCCTGCTAACCTTTCGATCGCGCAGCGGCAAAGGGGAGGATACTTGGAAATGCTACCCAGACACCCCAAAGGGATCTGAAAATTAGGTTTAGGGCTTAGGGTATAGGGTTTAGGGTTTAGGGTTTAGGGTTTAGGGCTTAGGGTTTAGGCTTTAGGGCTTAGGATTTAGGGTTTAGCGCTTAGGGTTTAGGGCTTAGGGCTTATAGGGTTTAAGGTTATAATGGGCTTCTAACTATGGGGGATCTAACTTTTAGATCCTCCCGGGGGTCTGGGTAGCGGGAAGGGATGCGGGG